TTTTAGGTTGTGACATAATAAAACATAGAAAAAGATCAAAAGGTGTCAACACTTTTGTAAAGCAATGTATTATTCTACATTTATTGCCTTCACCACAAACTTATTAGTAAGTTTATAAAAGTATAAACACATCACCGATACAAGTTATGTTAAAAAAATATCCATGTTTTTTGGTATTTAGGTCCAGCCAAAGGAGGAAACCAAAAAAACAACTATTAAGTCTCATTCTTCATTTAAAGTGTGTTTTAAGTCTGCACAATAAATCCCTTGATTGAATAATCACAAAATGCTTGGGAGAACTTGAGCTAAGTGCTCACTACTTCCTTCTCTAAACAGACATTCTTGAGCAAACGCCTTGGACTCGATGTCCATATTAGGAGCATTACCTGATATGTTGGGAAAGAAGAATTAAATGCTGTCTCTGACAGCAGAACAGCATGTCTTTTTTAAACACTGATACATTACTTTGAGTTTTTTAATGAATTGCTCTGACACAGATTTTTGCAGATCTGGCTTCAGGTCTGCCAAGTGTTGCTATTTTTAATTACCGTGGTAAAACTGGTAGAGAATCCCAACAATTGAGCTCTGTTTGTTTCAGCTATTCCACGGCGCTTTCTGCGGTAAATCTAGCAAACCAATCGTCTTGGAGCTCCACTAGGTAACGGGTTCGGCTCGGCTGGGGTTGCTGGGAAATGGCGAAGCATCCCTTTGAACATGACTTAGAAATTGGCAGGGTTTTGGGACCGCTCATTTTTCAGACACCAGAAGGAAACATTCACTGGTTGCAAAAACACGGCTGTTTTGTTTTTGGTGATGCTTTTAGAAGCACAAATGAAAGTAAACAAATGTGAAATTAGAACATTAGTCACTCATTTAAACAGAGACGAGGGGAACGTCTTGTCAAAGTTCCATCTTTCATCAGCTTATAAACAGTGAATAAATATAATCCTAAATTTTGCTTCATTACTTTGATGGAATCTGCAAAAACACAAAGTCTTAGAAAGTATGTTGTTCTTGTTCCTAGTGCAAACATCTGAATACACTTGAAATAAGTCTAACTTACTAGCAAATTTCAAGCAAGATAAACACTTGTTTTATGTCAAATAACTTGTTAATATTGATGAAAAAGTATTAGTTCTCATGGCAGAAACTAGAAACTGGTTTCTAGAATAGAAGTACTTGATAAGACTTTATGTTTTTGCAGTGATATCAATAATTTGTTTGCTCTTTTAAAATGACGAGAGACGGATTAAACAACTCACCCTATATCTAATTTTTTAAATATTAGTTTCTATTGACCATAAAATGAGACAAGTTGGAAAAACAAAAACTATTTAATAGAAACCAATTTAAAAAAAAAAAAAGATGTTTTCTGCTGAAATGTTTTTCATCTGTACACGAATCATGTGGTCAACATCTGGATATTAAAGACAGCAGGAAATGGTATGAGGATGACGGTGCGGCTTGGTTTTTAATGACTTATTATGTGAACAAACTTATTTATCTGTGATATTAATCGCGTTTATATCAGGCATGAATGAGAGGATCAGTAGTGAGACATCTGTAATCCGATACTGAAGTAGGTAAATAATGAGGCCTTCAGACAGAGAGCTTTAATCAAATGCAAAGGCTTTAGTTTATTGACCGTTGCACGCACACAGAACAGGTGAGCATATTTACACAGATGTAAACAGTCAGGATCGGCAACAAAAACAAAAAGAGAGGACACAGTATCGTGTTTTTTTTTTTGTTTTTGTTTGTTTTTTTGCCAGACACACATCCATAAACACTTGCAGGTATTTGGACACATTCACACGGAGAGGAAAGGCAGAATGAAGAGAGAGAGAAAGAGAGCAGAGTGTCTGAAAACACGGAGCACAGCAGGCCTCTTCGGTCAGCGACTTCAGGCAAGATTTCCACTGATCAAAGCTCAAGTTACCGATCAGAAAGTAGAGAAACACCAAGACCTTGATCACCGTTTGAAGAGTTCACATTGTGGCATGTAGATAATAATGGCACACAGTTTTGCTCAGATTTATTCCACTTCTTTTTCTTTCCAAAGATGCACAATAGGCAGAAGATAATTTATGCTCTGAAGACACCATGGAAAAAACATCTTGCTGGAAACATATAATATACAAAAGTACCAGAAAAGATGAAAAATATACATGAAATAATCTTTGCAGAACCTAAAAAACTTCCATAAACATATAAAACAAAAACATTACTGAAAACAAAAAAAAGCACACAAAATGAGTGTGAATTACAGGCTTCTTTCACTTTATTTCTTCTCTTTAAAAAAAAATTAATCGTACAAACAACTGAAATGATAATTCAACGTAATAATAGATCATGCGGAGTCATAAAGAACGCCTGATTAAAGCAAACAAGCAAGCAAACAAGAAATAAAAAGTTAAATTAGAGGTTCCTGCACAGCAGAAGATAACTAAGGAAGGAAGAGCGATATCTACAAGCCTGCTCTACTTTCCCTCCTTCTGTTCACTCCTTCATTCTTTCCCTCTCTCTCTTTTTTAATTCCATCATCCTGCATTTATTCTGCATGAACTCACTTATTTTTCTTTGGCTCGCACCGACGCCAAAACACAAAAAAAAAGATGGTTGTGTTCAGCTTAGTCACCAAATGTATTCTGGCTTCGGTTCAAATAAACACAGCGCCGCCACAGCGACAGCCCGACCAACGCTTCCTGTTCAGTCAGCAGATGAGAAACTCTGCAGCCCTGAACGGGTTCAGAAAGCTTTCCGTTCTTCTTTATCAAGAACAAAAATAAAGCAAATGTGCAAGTAAACTTCTGTTTTACCTTCAAATGATTCATATGTAAACAGCTGTGTACAAATGAAAACTAAAAAAAATCCAGCAAGTAGACACGTCCGACACTGGCAGCTTTCAAATTAAAGATCTGGAACAGAGCAAATATCTCCTTCTCCCAGGGAATCTGAAATATGACGCATTGATCTGTCAAGATGCAATATTTAGTAGGCTGCAACATTTTAGGAGTCATCTTTTAAAATTATGCGCCTTAATAAGATAACAGATTAATTGGATGGTCTTTAACTGTCCCTGAAAGCAGTTTGTTACCAAAAGGACTAATGAGTTCATGGCAATGTATAAAATCCAGCACTGCAATATTGAACCGACTAGTCAAACAGAGAAAACATTTATTTATCGCTCACTGCATGACAATTTCATTAAAATTTTATTTTATTTCTGTAATTTAAAAAAAAGGGAAAGTTGCCTATTATTAAGATTAATTGCACACAGATTGAGATATTTGCTGCAAAATCAGCTCACTATGAAAATTCAAATTTCAATTTCTCATAAAAGTAAAATTAGAACATTGTAAGATTTATAAGTTTTTTTTTAAAGTTGTCAATGTTATGGTACACGATTATGTGTATGACTGTTGATTGTAAAGTTATCCAGGATGCAGTTAACATGAAGTGGTAAGCTACAAGAACTCAGAGCTGAAGAAGAGAGTTCACTAGAAAGTTGAGTGGAAGGAAAACATCGAGTAGCATACGTGAAGAAGCTAAGGAGAAAAAGGTCTCCATTGTTACGGTTTATCGTTCTCTTTTTAAATGTAAGGTAAAGTTAGTTCCTCGTTTAGTTTTCAAGGTCAAAGTGTGTGGAAGATGAGTGGAAAAGCACACAATCCAAATTGCTAGAGGATCATTTGTTCTTGGTCTGATGTAATATTCTCACTTACCGAGAAACTGAAATTTGGGTTTTCATTAGCTGGTAATCCTAACCAACAGAAATGACCTGAATATTTCACTCTGTGTCCAATAAATCCACAGTAATACAATTTACGAACTGAAATACTGAAAAAAATTAATCTGATGATATTCACACCTACTGAGATTTAGCTGCATAAATAACTGGTTGAAAAGTTGTGTAGCAGAAAATATATTTCAGAGATTAAAGTAGCAAAGCACTGAAAGATGCCTAGTATAAATCAGTCAATACATTCATTGTTCAGCAATATGAAACCAGATTAATGCCAGTGGATAATCTCTCTAATTTCTAATTATATTATTAAAAAGACAACAAATGTTTTAGCGTCAAGTTTAGGTCCCGAAATGTTTTATTTTTTATTACTTTACTGAAAAAATATCTGAATAGAAAGATGTGAACAAAGCTGGGTGTGTATGACAAATGTTCCTCTGCAAAAAGCGTAGAAAACACTTTAAGGTCGAATGGATTCGGTTTCTACAAAGCGTCAAAATGCGTGACGGGAATGGCACAAAGCTGACTCAATTCACTTCATTTAGGTCTCATTTTCACAGCAGCAAACCTTCAGTCTGCTGCGACCGCGCTCGCCGTCCAGAGGAAGGCGTTAAGCCTCTCTCTAATGTCACAGTCGAAGGTCACCCACAGAGATCTGCAACTAGCTCCTACCACTTCACACAATATTTACAAGCAAACCACACAAACCCTCCCGACACAATGGCGCAATTTATTGCTACCTTTAGGGACGGAGGCTTCTCTTGAGTTTAATATATATTTCTATATTTTCTCCAGTACCTTCCCAAAATCACTTTTCCTCTCAGAGATAATCTAGTATAGAGTTGCCATGCTTGAAAACTACAATTCCCAGGCACTTGTTTGTAACCAAATGTACAGTGAAGTTTTCCTCTGGGTCAGCTTGCTTCTGGTGCTCAGAGAAAAGGCAGCGACATTCAAAGTCAGACCCAAAACGCCGACCAAAAAGAAAAACAAAAAAAACACAAGCAACCTCCACATGCATAACAACGTTATAGTTTCTCTTGAGATATATTGTACACTGACAAATTAGGTAGAGGTTGGCGTTTGCATTTACTCACTAACTCATGCTGCAATGCTACAGTAAGCTGAATGACGAGAGAGAAAATGTGAAGAAAACCAGGAATGATTGAAGTAAGAGGTATGAAATGAGAGAATGAGGTAGAGACAGCGATTTCCTAAAGAGGAAGTGAGCAAAAAGGAAAAAAGGCAAAATAAAATAAAATAAAAATGGGAGTGTGAAAAGAGGAGAGTCAGGTACTCGTCTTTTGCTCAGTGGCTCAGGTCAGTTTTTTACTGGACGTTTGCACTGAAACCTGGTTTTCACATCCGCAGGTGATCCGTGAACGGCGGCTCCGAGTCGTCCATGGGCAGAACGAGGCGCGTGCCCCTCATCACCAGCTCATGATCGCCGTACGCCAGCTCCCGGTCCAGGTCGTCCGCCGCCTGGCCGCCGCTGGCGTGGGCGCCTGTGGTGTCAGTGCTGACCATGATGTCGCCATAAGTCAGGCTGATGTCACCGTCCGTCAGGATGAGGTCAGAGTCATCGTCCTTCAGCTGACACTCATTCTGGGGGAGGAAAACGAGGAACAAGTCGGGTTTATTCACTCATATAAACTAAAACGGGCCACTGTAGGGATTTTATCGATTAACAGTTCACTGGATTAAAATGAGCTCAAATCGATCAAATAGTAACTTCTGCTTAGACCTTTGCTTGAAAAGTTTTGAGATTAAATTTCTGAGTTTGAATAGTCAATTTTTTTTGGGCTTTTCAAACAGATTTCTGAGGTAATGTTTTTTTTTTTTAGAAAATGTAGAAAATTTTTTGGAATGCAGAGATGTGCTTGTTTTATGTTTTTTCTTTTGTATTTTTTTTCTACAATGACCCCAATATGCCATTGTTTTTATTCAGTCAGTATTAAACACATCTGACATGCAAAAAAGTTAAAATACAATGATGTGATTCTTTTTTTATATTTACCACATGAACAATGATCCCTTCATGCTAAGGAAAGACAGCCTTGATACAAACAAAAACACAAGTTACTAAGAAAATGGCCGCTTAACCAATTATTAGCCAACTTTAGATCAACTCATTGATCATAACTTGCTTGTCCCGTGTGACCTGCACTCTGACCTCATAGGCCTGGGGGCTGGTGAGGAAGCGGGCCAGGGGGCCGCAGCAGGGAGGAAGCGTGGTAGTGAGAGGGGGGCCGCTGTGCGTCAGGATGGGCTTCAGGTAGCTGGAGAGAAGCTGGAGTCAAGGAAAAACCTACACAACTCCCAACTCCAAGGGAGAGCAACAGGAAATAGCAAATAACGTGATGAATGCCTGGTATGAGCATCAGGATCAAAACCTCCATCGTTTTTATACATAAGTGATTTTATTCCAGTTTACTGTCTTTTTGTATTTTTGCATACAGTGGATGGTCCTCTACCTATTCATGGTTCAGTATTTGCAAGATTTTCTGTCTTTTCTCCAAATTATTCACAGAAAATTTGTCCTTTGGTGGATATTTTTTTGTTTTTTTTAAGAAAATCTGAAATCTTTGAAAGAAATTGCGGCTCATACAGCTGGGACACATGGGCACAATGCCACTTTACACTATTGATCCACTCCTGTTGCAAAACGAGCAGGGAAATAGTAAAATAATTGAACTTAATAAATGTTAGAAAAAAATACAATAATCAATATTTTATTGTGACTGCACAGTGGTGCAGTTGGTAGCACCGTTGCCTTGCAGCAAGAAGGTCCTGGGTTCAATTCCTGGTCCGGGGAACTTTACAAAAATTAACTAAAGTTTGCTGAATGTCAAAATAAAGGAAAGTTATCATTATAGCAGTCATCAAATACACATAATTTTGGTAACCCTGACTAACCTAAAAGATAAATATTTTGTCTCATTTAAAGTCAGAGTTAAAACAACGTCACATTTATTTATAGGGGATGTAAATGTCTGGTTTCAGTTGTAGTTCTGGAGATCATTTGTTTCCAAATCTATAAGCTGTGCTCCCCCTGCTGGCTGAAAATATACACTTCGCCACTCACTCATGGAACTGAAAGAGAACCAGAGGAATCACGAAAACACTGCGAGTTGTTTCTGTAAAGGATACTTGTGGTCGAAGTTATACCAAATTCTGAAAAGCCAGGCACTTTCTTGTTTGGTGCTTCTCCTCTCTGATCCGTCAGCAAAACTCATCTGAATCAACAAAAAAAAGGCATTTATTTGTAAAACCAGTTCAAATAACATTTGCTAAGTTTTACCATCACGTCGCCAACTTACAGAGTTTTCCTGATCAGGGTCAACTCCCACTCTGTTAGAAGAAAAACAGTAAATCAGTCGCAGATGGACGTTTTTAGAGAAATTTCTCTAAATGCCAACAATGTCCAGATGTTGAAGACTCATTGCCAGTTACTGGAAATGTTTGATCAAACTGGGGTTAGGGAGCAACCAGCAACCAGAAAGCACAGGATGGTTTGGATAGCTTCTCGCCTTTAATAGATAAAATATATTTTTTGAAAACTGTAATTTCTATCTACTCGGATTGACAAGCAAAATAAAAATAAAAAAAGTTAAATAATCTCAATTTGAGCCTTTTTTCAAACCAAAATAATCATTTAATTTTACATTTAATTTTATACATTTAATTTTTTCCATCATAATATTCTTAGATTCTGCACCGTACTCCAGCGCATTTGGGCCATTGTAAATAGAAAAAAGCCAAAAAACTTACATTCTGAGATTAATCTCAGAAATTTTACAGAAAAAAATGACATATTTTTGAGATTGAAAAGTCAAAAATCTCAGAAATCTTGAGATTAATCTTAGAAATTTTACACAAAATATCTCGAAAATTTCAGATTCTTTTTTCTGACAATTTTTTTCAACTTTAGAAACTCATACATTTCTAAGAATAAACTCAAAATGTATGATTTTGGCTAATTTTCAACAGTTGAATGTTTTTCAACAAGATTTTTTTTGCGAAAGGTACTTTTCTCTGTTTTTTTCTTCTTCTTCAATGGCCCTAAGATGACATTGTAGCCTTAGGACTTGTTAGGGAGGAAAATAACATTTTCCTCAGACATTATGTGCAGTTTGAACAACATAATTTAAACAGAGTCGACTAGAAGTTTCCCAGAACTGTGGCATTTGTTTTTAAGGAATAAAGAAAATAGTAGGAAATCTGTCTAAGTTTATGTCTGAAACTGCTTACCGTATCCGCTGACAGGACAGCATCTGAGTGGTGCCGCCACCACACACCCAAACAGTGAAGAAAACCACAAGAAGATTGGTGGAGAACATCATCTGGCGGGCGTACGTAGCCGTGTCCCTGATGGACAGGGCGAAGGTCATCGCACCGCGCAGCCCTGAAAACCAAGCAAAAACAGGAAAACAAGGTCACAAACGTGTGTCTGTTTTGAACAGTCCTGCAGTCTGCTCCACTGGCCTGCAAACATCATCATGTGCTGGAAGTTGGATCTAATCTTGTTCCGTCGACCCAGATTAAGGAGGAGTGACAGAGGGTAGATGTTAGCAGCTCTACCCACAAACACCGCCAGCTGGATGGGAGGAACGTCAAGGAGGAAAACCAGCGGAACATCCTCACACATCACCCACAAAACTCCTCACTACATCAATTCTGGACTAATAAACAGACATCCTTTTATGAATGTAAACTCAGTAAATGTTTCTGTTTTCCAGATTGAAAAGATACAAAAGCTCCAACGATGAACATGAGATTAAAGACGTGGTTCTGGAAGGTGAACAGGGTCAGGCCCATGTAGGAGAAGATGAAGTTCTCTGCCAGGAAATTTAACAGCTCAAACAGCTGAAAAACAAAGAAAAGAAACATCAACAGTTTGTCTTTGAGTCTCATTAATGATTTGGTCGTGAAATTAACAGCTTTTATTCACCATATCATAAAACACAACTAATATTTATTGTACTTTCTGATTACTTTAAATCATGTGAATGTGGAGAAACTGATGGACATAGAAGATTTTTCCTTCCCAAATCTTTCCTTTTTTAAACTTATTCAAAACTCCTGATTATTAGCAAAACGTTTGGTTTGAGTTTCAGATAGAAACACTGACAGAAGTTGTGATGAATGTAAATCTTTATATGAATATTTAACACTGGAACAGGAAAATATTTCAAAATCCCAAATAAAATAAAGTCTCTGTAAACAAAATTAACCTACAAACAGGAAAGCAACAGACTGGAGACTTTTGTAATCCAGTTTGTGTTAGAAAGAGAAAAAAGAAAAAAAAAAACAATCATGCAAGTAGAAATTTGTATTTGTCATGCAAGTAATTGTTTTATTGCTTAATGCAACAGGCCTATTCACACATATGATTTAAGGTAGGTTATTATTTATTACAACAATGGACCCTGGTGTATTGTTTTTACAATGACACCCTAATCCTTTAGTGAATACTAAACAGTTTTGTAGCATTCGTGTGGTTCTGACCTGCTTTGTCCGGTCCTGAGACTCTGGAGACAGATTGTTGAAGGTGTAGTGGGCCTGAGTGATGCCACAGAAGAGCACAGCCACAACACCTGCACAACACAACATGATCGAAAGACAAGAAAACCGCATTTCAATCTGTTCAACGAGGCTGCATTGTATGAAACTAAATGTGCTACAGATTCGCTTTAGGTTTGAGTTTGCTACCTGTGAAGCCACAGGCTTCAGCCAGCAGGAAGGTGCTCCAGGACATGAGGAAGAACAGAGCCGTCTCCAGCAGCTGAAAGTCCCTCAGTTTGGTGAACTTCGTCACGTATTCCCAGTCAAGGATCTTATTGAAATTAATTTAACTGATTATGTAGGTGCATTTAGTCCACTTTAATCAAGCTGTAGTTTGATTGTCTAGAAGGTCCGGTTCGCTTGGGGAGATGTGAACGCGCAATCAAACTCTGCAAGGAACAAAAACCAAAAATCCTAATTCTCTGTTCTGTTGATGTGAACTCTGGTTCGGTTCGAATTCAAATTAAAGTGACAAGAGGACCAGAGACCGCTCCAAAAGCAGGAAGTGAACTGCAGCACACAGGATTCTGGGTAAATACAAACAGAACAAATTGCTTCTGGTCTCTTCCCAAAGACAAAAGAGAAATCCTACAACCACTAAAATCTGACGCTACTCCATTTTTGTTTACGTTTCATCGTCTTCTTCAGAGGTTTCTGTGTTGTTTACTTTCAGTGCTTCTTGGTGCAGCGCCACCACAGGTGAGGAGGGAAGCAGATTTTTCCAAAGGATTTGGTTCCTTTGACACAATGTGATGTGAAAGCGAACCGCACCAGCTGAAAATTTAACAAATGTTGCAATTTTGATCCCCAATCAAACCAACTACTGAACTACCAGGTGTCAAAAAACCTGCACTATCTGTGCCACGTCACAAAAAACAATCGGTATGCTCGTGCTGTTTTCAGTACTTTACACACATCTCTAACAGCAGGATGCTATTTGTAACCTAAGCCATAACTTTGTTTAATCATAGCTTATGCAGCAGACTGGACAGACGACAAAACCAGAAAAGATATGAGAGCGGTAACGATTCCCGTTGCAACGCCCAGAGAGAAGGAGCCGCTGAAAACGCCGAGGAACATCCCTAAGGACTTCAGCAAGGCCATGGCCTCAAACGTGTGGCTGTTGTCTCCTTGTGGCTGATATGCAACAATAGACCTGATAATAAAACACAAAGAAAAACACTTAAAGGCAAATATACACAGTGCACACCAGATATTTACATAGGAAACCCGTCTGTGTTTGTCTCAAGTCCAGTGGGTCGACTTCACGACAGACACAATCAGGTTTACTGTATTTATTCTAACAAAAGAGCAAATAAAGTTGGTGGTTGACATCAGTCCAGCAGCAACAGAAAAAATATGGGGCGGAGCTGTGAGTTCTTCTAAATGCCATTAGAAGCAGCTGATTGACTAAATTTGTATTGCCTTGCTGCTGAAAATATGTCATATAAAGAAAATTACCTTTAAGTGAAATAAATTCAAGGAATAAATTTGTTCGAAAACCCAATAAAAGTACAACACTAAACACAAATTCTTTCAATTATAAAAAGCAAAGCCAAAGAAAATGATCAATATATTGAGTTTTAAGCAAATAACACAGTTTCTATAACATAAAGCAAAGCAAAATGAATATTTTTGAATATTTCCATTACTGCCTCTGCTATTGAAATACACACTTTTTAAAAGTTAATTATTTCTATCTTCAAATATGATTTGTGCCGTTTTGCAGTGAATCAAGACTGGGATTTATATCATTTTTATAAAAGCTTCATTTGTGTGATCTTTTTAAGCAACTTCATTTATTTATCTAATGGCCCTTTTCTGTATTGTAGTTACTGTTTGGATATTAATTTTCTGTGTGTTTCTCCAAACTTCTGCACAGTAATATGGTAAAAGTAATGTACAATATAACCCATAAATATTATTTTTATTGAGGAAATGATTCATTCTTTGTTTTTTAGCACATGGTGATTTGAAGAACTTTAGTCTGATTTAATGCCAGGCAGTAAGAAAAAAAAGTTTTAGTTTTTTAGTGCATGTAAAAAATAGCCAAGAGTAGAAACTTTATTTTCAGAAAAGTTCTCTTACTCAATTCGACCAAACAGCGCGTCTTTAAGCAGCATCCTTATCATGCAGATAAGTATATTCCAGTAAAACGCTGGAATAACTTCACATTCCAGTGTTTTACTTCAGTGTTTAATCAGAACCAGAAAGAACTCGGGCTGAATGTTTTTCTCTACTGAAAACAGTCCTGCAGCACGAACATGGAGATACTTAAAAAAAAAACCCGACCCATTGCTGGGAAGGCGACAAACTAGAAACAGAAAAAAGACCTGAGAATATGGAAAGTTATTTTTAAATCCTGGACTGTTATCGTCAAAATGATAATGTTATCAAATTTTGATAAAATATTTACTGACAATAATTTAAAGTCTGAGATAAAAAAAAAATCTGGCTAACATGGATTATTTTTAATTTTTAAAAAGTATATTTCTTACTTATTTCTTCCTAGGTAACAATGTTTCACAGAAAACACAGCAGAGGAATTTAGTGCTGAAAAGCTCAGATCCTATGAAATATTTCTATGCTACTGTAATAAAAGACTAATTTATTTCCAGGTTGTTGTTATTTTTACTCAATATTACCACGTAAAAACCAATACTAGTCTGTATATTTTATAAAGTCTCAATTTGCTAACATAGTTCTGGAAAAAAATGCACTGAAAAACACCAAACAGGAACTTTCATCTTTTTTTCCAACCAAAGTTGATTCTACAATTAGATTTGTTCAACATGACACACAAATCACAAGGCATTTTGTCATTAAGCTTCTCGTCTCCTCTTCAAAGATGACTAAAGGGTGTGGGCATTTTTTTTTTCACGGAACATCGTTTACCAAAACGACAAAAAAAGCAAATAACTTGATAATCTAAAACTCTGGCTGGATAAGCCAGAGTAAAAACAGGGTAAAAGCCTCTGATTCGTCATGCTAGTCCTCAGGCACTGCAAAGACACACAACGACATGCTCTACTTAACGCACAGTCAGTGAATTGGTGAGGGTTTCTCTGGATGGCCTGCTTCCTCCTAGCTGCATGCTATTATAACGCTTTGTTCTGTGGAAATTACAACAGAACAATGAAGGGAAGAGGAAAAACAAAGCAACACCAGGGGAACTGACTCCAGCTTGGTCAAATGTGAATCTCACAGCTGGTTGGTTCACTGATCAAACATGAAAAACACACACTTTCATACATGTTTGTTCATGTCTCAAACATTCAGTCATCATGATTAGACGTAATTTGATTTTAAAAACTTACGAGGACAAAACGACAGCGACGGCATCATTGAGGACGCTCTCTCCAAACAGCAGCGCATACAAATCCACGTCAACCTGCAGCTCATGGAAGATCGCCAGGACCGTCACTGCGTGACCAACAGAAACACATTAAAACTGACATAGACTGAAAAGACATTTAAGCAATTTGCTGAGAAAAATGTTGCCGTGTAAGAGTACAAAGAAAATCTCAAATGTGGTTACTTTTACCCTTTAACACTTTCAGAAATCTCACCCAACTTTGTCTCTAATTTTTGCATCCTGAGGATTATCTTGAAATCTTTTACAGAAATAGTTAATTGATCTATTTATGGTTTGCGTCTTTACTTTATTAAAGACAAGGTATTTCAACTTGAACTCCTGTGCATCTTTACTGAGTTTAGACAGTCTCATAAAAGAGCAACACTTTCTGAAAACAAAAATGTGATGCACACAATCTCAGCTATTAAAACGTTATCAGTACTTCTCACAACTGCCAGCAGAAACTAATGTTGCATTTTAGATAAACATTTCTAAGAAAGTTTCATGATTAAATTATTTTTCAAATTATAAAAATTTAGTTTGCAGCAACTGCAATCAAGTAGATAAAATATGAGTCGTAACACCTGCTTTTGAAAAGACTGATAATAATGCTGGAGTACCTCAGGGTTGTTTATTGAGTCCTATTTATTAGACTGTATATTAATGACTTCTTTGATCACCTCATGCAGGTTCAAATGTGAATTTGTATGACTAATTATAAGTTTCTTAAGAAAATGCATAGTTCAGCAAATTTGCAGTACCATAAACATTTTACGTTATCTGAAAAATTCCAACAGTTTCTGAAAGAGGAACGTTGCGCTTTCCAGCCAATATCGGGGTATTAAGGTAATTTCACTCCTGCCGTAACAGGGAGCATGTTTTTGTTCAGTTTAATTTGATGAGACACTTTTTAATAGACAGTAAATTGTGAAAGTATGTGCTATATATTGAAAGTTCCAGTTCGGAGGGTTAAAATGTAATCCCTGAATAGAAAACATAATCAGAAGTTCATTTGAATAAATACCCGGGTCTGTTGCTGAGACGATGGCGCCAAAGAATAGACAGTCGGTGAAGAAGAAGTCTCCACCCAGTTTGCCCAGGTGCTTCATCAGCGTGACACAGCCGTACATCAACAACCTGTTGGAGGACAGCTTTAATTATCTGTCCATAACCATGTGGGTTATCGACAGATAATTCGACAGCAAAGTAGTCAGAGCTGTGTTTTTCTCAGTGCGGTTTCTGAGCACAATCATCTTACCCAATAATAAAACAGGAAATCACAGTCCCCACAAAGGCATAAGCCAGGATGGATCCCATGTTCCGGAAAAAATGTCTCTGGAAGATAAGAGCAAACATGCAGCTAACTTTACTGATGTTACAGTATTTAATCATAAATTAAAACTATTCATTTAAAGATCTGAGGATGTTGTACCCTTTTCAAGCTGTAGCCTGCATGAAAGATGATGGGCGGGAGAAGAATATTGAAGAAAACTTCAGGGTCAAACGTAACCTGAAGCCCACAAAAACAAAGATATGTATCAGTAAAACAGCAAAATAATCAAATGCTTTGACGCTAATTAATGTTATGTTAATTATTTAATCAAGATTGACAGAACTGGGAGTAAAATAACATGTTAAAAGAGAGCAGCAACTCAATCAAGCATCATTTAAGGCTGAGATTATTCTTATTTTAGGTCTGAATCCAGATCAGTACCAAATTTGTCAGAGCACAAAGAAGTTAGGACATTTTTATTTTACACTGGATCACACAGGGAACAGAGTTTGATTGTGTTGAATTTGGGATTCCAGAGAAATAAAGACCTTGGAAAAGTATTTCCTCAATTAATTAAGAATGTTTATGTGACAATCCAACAGAAAGTAGCACAGCTGTGAACTGGAAAGTAATGCAAGATTTTTTTTTTTTTTTACAACTATAAATAACTAACATGAGTAAAGCTGACAGCATAAAGTATCTTGCAAAGAACAATGGGAAAATACCTCAGTGATAGGTCATTTTACAAAGTATTATCTCAGAGGAGGTAAATTATTTGTTTCCCTAAAAAATTTTGAACTTTGCATTTGAAATTTGGCAATATATATAAAAAAAGTTCAATTGGCATTAACATTTTTGCAATCAGATGCCAGAGCATGACACATTTCTCTATATAACCAGAAATAACTCAAGTGATTTGTGTTGTTTCAACTGGAATACCTTTCTTGATAATTGTGCATTCATTTATTTAAAATAACCAGAATCATGGCTCCAACTTCAAAGCTGCAAAGTAAAGTAAAATACTAAAATGCCATCAGCAGTAACTACCACAAACGCGAGTAAACAGCCAGTACCTTGCGCAGCATCTCGTTGTCTTTCATGTTATTCACCTCGTTGGCACTAATCTCCCCATTCAAGGTGTATTCGTAAAATTTGCCACTGATATTTAACAGCAGGGTGGCGGGGCTGCTGTTGACAAAACAGTTTGTCGGGTAGACGTTGGCCCGAGAGACCTGAACGACGTAGCGCAAGATCACCCCGACGATAAGACCTAAGAAAAGAGGCGGAGAGCAAAAATAGAACAGAGGACGGTTTAATTTAAGACAACAAAGCTCCATTTATTTTTATTGCATTTGAAATTTTCTCTCAAACACATTTAAAAGTAAGAATCTGGTTCTTGGGTTTTCTACTTTCTCATCCACAGGCAGAAATAAAATAAATTCAGCTTTAGTCTCACATTGATCACACACTTTTGATGCCATCAACAAGCTGCTGGTTAGTCATGTCTGAATTTCTGTTTTGCTAGTAAATCTTAACTTGCAGTGGTGTCTAAACTTTTTGCCTCAGAGGCCAAAACTGTTAAATTTAAACTACTGGTGCTTCACAAAATGCATTAAATTAAGAACACAAGAAGTAGTTTACTTTCATTTCTCCTTTTACCTGCTGAATCATGTTGCCTTAATAAAAGAAAAAACATTTCCAAACTTCTAGGGTCATCAGTTGATTTCATTTTTTTTTTTTTTTACTTGTGTTGGGGAGGCTGATCAAATTAATTTCAAGGGCCACAAATGACCCAGGAGCTACACTTTGGACTCCTCTGGTCTAGTGGATTTAATAAACAAAGTGCAGAAAATCATTTATTTCCTATTAAGTCTGGTGTGGATGAGTTTTTGGGTGACATAAAACACCAACATGCCAGGTTAAATAGAGGAAGTAGTCAGTTCAGCACAGCATAAGCAGATTAATTACTGTCTTGTGTCAGTCAAATGTTACCAGTTTAACCTGGAAGGGAAGTGAAATGTTTTGATGTTCAAAAGGGAACAGAAAAATAAACTGCAGTTTAAACTACAGATCACGGTGTTGACATTTCACATCTGATCGATATCTGCGGGTCTGATGGCGTCTTCCAGCTGTCAGTCTCACCGTAAATCATGGCCAGCCCGGTTTCGTGCAGGAACCTGAAGCGCCGGTGCTTGAAGAGCCAGATGGTTAGTATAGTGAGGGTGAGGAGCAGGATGAAGATGAGCAGGTCTGCGCTGTCCTGTCTGTGGCTCTCCTCAGCCTTCTTCTCCGTAGAGATGTTCTCCATGGCACTGCTCTCCTCCTGGGCTGGAGATGATGCTGCTGAGACGCCGATGAACACACACAGGCTCACCAGAACAACAACCAGCAACCGCAGCGTCTTCACAGCCCGCAGCGACACGCCCACGCTCGTTCTGGTTAACATTACGGCTTTTTTGTCATACGGTCGGAGTTAAAAGAAAAAGAGAGAGCGAGAGAGAACAGAGAATGAGTCACGGACCGAGAAGAGATGACAGCCAAGACGGCAGCAGCAGAGTCAACCCGGAAGTGAAAATTATTTTTCTCCAGAAAGCGTATAAATGTGTTTCACGCTAAAAGTCTTATTCAGGGTTTTACCTTAGCCAATGCTTGGAAAAAAATTACATTTGTTTAAAATAATAATTTAATGCTGATTTCTTAAGCTTATTGGAGATTTTGAGCTTTTAACGGAAAATACCCATTTCACTCTGACCTGTACTGTTTTATTTTGAAATTTGCATCTTATTTAATTTCAACAGGAAGTGAATCCAAACATGTATTTAATTCAGTTTGAATTAACGCTGCGAAATACAACTTTTGCCATAAAATTAATTCAAACTTTCTGAATATATTTTTGACTCTTTTGCTACTCCAATCTAGAGAGCCGAGTCTCGCGATACAACCCAAATGCAACGTTTGTATATATCGGTAGTTGCACATTTAAATAAATTAAAGTTAAAAACGCATCGTATTTTATAATATAAGCTTTCCTTTTAATTAGTTCAAATTTAAGTAACTCATATAACTCTTGGATGAAGATGTGAATCTTGCCCTTTTCGGATGATCATGCACATTTTTAATTTCACAATTCTTCTGTTGATAGGCGTCGGAGGAAGTGTACGGACGAGAAGGCGTAAACATGCAACAAATCCGAGGAGGACGTGAACGCGGCCAGTTGAGGAGGTCGATTCGGAAAGTAGAGCTGGTCGAGATCGGAGGAGACGGTTGGAGGAAGAAGGCGGAAAAACAAATTACAAATTGAAATTGTAAAAGGCGGATTGAGCATAAACTGGTATGTGAATGGTTCGGTTGGTAATGGAGTTAGGAGATGAGGAAGATATGGATTTTGATGGGTGGACGCCAGTGGGGAGAGGAAGAGGGAGAGGACGTGGAAGAAACAAAATAGATGAAAGAAAAGAAATTGGTGAAAGTCAAGGAAGTAAACGAGAACTGGAAGAAAGTAGCTCAGAGGAAGAAAAGATAGTTAGGAGGAAAGTTGTGCGGGAGGAATTTAAAATAATATTAAAACTTAAAAATGGAAGGACAAGATAACATTAGCCCCATTGTGGTGTCAAGAGAAATAAAAAAGAAAATTGGAGATGTTGAAATGGTAAAAATGTTGAGAGATATGAATCTGTTGGTGGTTTGTAAAAACGAAGAACAAAAGAACAAGGCTCTAAACGTGGAGAATATTTGTAAAAAGAATGTGTTGGAGAAAAGAATCATTGGAGAAAATAAAAAAACTGGAGGAGTGATTTATGGGATCCCTCTAGATGAAGATCTTGATAAAATCAAGAAAAGTGTAGTTGGTGCAAAAGTGAATAACTTAAAGAGATTGTCCAAAACAGTAAACGGGGAGAGAGTGGGGGTCTGTCAATACTCATGGAATTTGAAGAGAAAGAATTACCACTAAACATCAAAATAGGTTATCTCAGTTTTCAGGTCAGGCCTTATATCCCTCCACCGCTTCGTTGCTTTAAATGTCAAAGATATGGACACATAGCAGCAGTTTGCAAAGGAAAGCAGAGATGTCCAAAATGTGGAGAAGATCACAAATTAGAAGAATGTAAAGAAGAAGTACAAGAAAAAGTTGTAATTGTGGAGGGAATCATAGAGTTACATATGGAGGATGTGAAGTCAGGAAGAAAGCAAAAGAAGTCACACAGATTAAAATGACTAAAAATATAAGCTATGCAGAGGCAGTTAAAAATGTGAAAGAACAGAAAATAGAGAGATTGAAAAAACGAGGCAAATTCCACTGCAAAGTGAGATACAGTCAGAGGAAAAGGTTGTGATATCAGTAGAAAAACTAATATTATTTATGGCATATGTTATCAACTGTACTGACCAAGCCAAGAATAAAACGGAGAAGATTAAAATTATAGTGAGGGGAGCGGAAAAGTTTAAAGAGGGATCATGGGAGAACATAAACAAAAAATTGGAGGTAGACAGGAAGCCAGGAACATCTGGTGGAAATAATTCATGTTAATATTACAATGGAATGCAAGAAGTTTGATTGCTAACGGACAGGAACTTAAAGGATATATTGATAGTCTTGAGGAAAAACCAGAAATTATTTGTATTCAGGAAACATGGCTAAAAGCAACGTTAGATTTTGTGATTAACGGATATGGTAGTGTAAGAAGAGATAGGCAGGAGGTGGATGTGGAATATTTGTAAAAAAAAAGGGATACAATATCAGGTTTTAGGGAAAGGGAAAGAACTTGAATATATAATAATTGAAATTTGGGAACAAGGTGGTAAAGTTAAAATAATAAATTTTTATAATCCATGTAAATTATTATCAATTGAAATAATGGATGAATTAACTGAATATTTGGAAGGAAAAGTAATTTGATGTGGGGATTTAATGCTAATAGTACATTATGGGGTAAATGTAACGATAGAAATGGGAAAATAATAGAAGAATTAATAGAAAGTAAAATCTTGTATGTATTAATGATGTGAGGGGAACTAGACTTAATGTAAGAACAGGAATGGAATCAGTTATTGATTTAACAATAGTTTCAAATGGTTTAGCGAGTATTTGTGAATGGATCATTGATAAAAATACAACAATAGGTAGTGATCATTATCCCATTACAATAAAAGTAGGATTAAATATAAATAATAAAAATATAAAGGTCAATAAAAAATGGGATTTTAATAAAGCAGATTGGATTAAATTCAGATTTTTAAGTCAAATAAAATTAGAAAAAGTGGATATGGAAATGAATATAGATGAAATAAATTTAAAAATTTGTGAGATAATCTTGGAAGCAGCAGATAAATCTATGAAGAAAATAGGGTGTAACAATTATAAGAAAATAGTACATGGTGGACAAATGAATGTAAAGAAGCAATAAAAGTAAGAAACAAAGCATTTAAGGTATTAAGAGGTAATTCAAAATATGAGAATTTAATTGATTATAAAAGAAAGCAAGCAATAGTAAGGAGAATAATTAAGAATGCAAAAAGAGAATATTGGAAAAAAATGTGTAGCACAATAAGGAAAGGAAACAAAAATAGAAAAAATTTGGAGAATGATTAGAAGAATGAATGGCATTAAAAGAGAATTTGAATATCCTATATTAAAAGTAGATAACATAAATATAATTAAAGATGAAGATAAAGCAGAAATATTGGCAAGAACATTCAGTAAAATCCACAGTTCAGATAATATTAGTGAGGAGGGTAGAAAAGGAAGAGAAAATACAAAACTCAAATATAAAGATGTGTTGCAGAATGAAGAAGAAGCAAATAACTTGTTAAATGTTGAATTTACAAAAGCTGAATTGAACTCTTCATTTACAAAACTTAAAAATACAGCACCAGGTAAAGATAAAATATGGTACAGAATGATAAGTCAGCTCAGTGAAAAATCTAAAGAGATAATATTGAAATTATATAATAAAATTTGGGAGGAGGGGAAATTACCAATGGAATGGAAAGAATCAATTATAGTACCAATAGCTAAACCAGGGAAAGATAAATCAAAACCAGAAAATTATAGGCCAATAGCTTTAACATCAAACTTATGTAAAATAATGGAAAAAATGATTAACAATAGACTAGTATATTATTTAAATAGTAAGGGGTATATAGTAAATTATCAAAGTGGATTTCGAAAAGGGAGGAGTACTAATGATCCAACAATATGTCTAGAGCATGAAATTAGAAAGGCACAAGTAAATAAAGAAAAGGTGGTGGCAATATTTTTTGATATAGAAAAAGCGTATGATATGATGTGGGTAGAGGGATTATTAATTAAATTATATAGGTTGGGCATTAAAGGAAAGATATATCAATGGATTAAAGACTTTTTACTAAATAGGAAAATTCAAGTTAGAATCAGTGAAGTAACATCAGGAGTATATAGAGTAGAAAATGGAACCACAGGGGAGTATAATAAGTCCGTTATTGTTCTCTATTATGATAAATGATATTTAAAGGTATTGATAAAGAAATGGGATGTTCACTCTTTGCGGATGATGGAGCGGTTTGGAAAAGAGGGAAAAATTTAGGTTTTATTGTTAAAAAATTACAAGATGTTATTAATGAGCTAGAGAGATGGGCATGGCAATGGGGATTTAAGTTTTCAGTTGAAAAAACAAAAGTAATGGTATTTACTAGGAAAAAAATAAACAGGGAAATAAAATTAAAATTATATAGTCAAGAATTAGAGCAAGTAAAGTGTATAAAATTTTTAGGAGTATGGTTTGATGATAAACTAAAATGGAATGTACATATTCAGAAAGTTGTCGATAAAAGTAAGAAAATTTTAAATATTTTGAGATGCTTGGCTGGCAATGATTGAGGAGCAGATAGGCAATCTTTGAGACAGTTTTATACAGGTATGATAAGAGCTAACATAGATTTTGGTTGTATTGTTTACGGTTCAGCAGCGAAAGTACATTTGGTTAAATTAGATGTAATACAACATCAAGCATTAAGATTATGTTCTGGAGCATTTAAAACCACACCAAGAGCAGCAATGGAAGTAGAGATGGGAGAAATGCCATTAGAATTAAGAAGATTAAGGTTGGAATTAAATTATTGGTTAAATTTGCAAAGCAATAATATTGATCATCCGGCTAGGGAAATTTTAAAACCATGTTGGGAAAAAGAAACAAAAGAAATGGGGAGTCTTGGATGGACAATTGAAAACAAAATAAAAGAATTTAACATGAGTAGTCTGGAAATTAGTCATCAACACCAACATCAGTAATACCACCATGGATTCTACCAGAAGCAACAGTAGATATGACAATAATGGATAAGAAACAGGATAAATCTTTCATCATTGATAGTAGTTCAGTGCAGGTACTTTTAAACAATTACTATCAGTATATTCAAATCTATACAGATGCATCAAAAATAACTGGAAAGTAGGTATAGCGTTTGTAGTACCAGAATTCAATATAAGAATAGGAAAACGAATTACAGACGGATCATCAGTGTACACAGGAGAAATGATGGCAATTCTATTGTCTTTACAATGGGTAGAAGAGATAAAACCATTAAAAACAATAATCTGTTCAGATTCAAGATCTGCATTATTAAGTATTAAAAACAAGCAATCGGATAGTAGAATGGACATTTTATTAGAAATATTTCACACATTATATAGAATAAAAAATATGGGGGTGATAGTTAATTTTGTATGGGTTCCAGCACATATTGGAATAGAAGGAAATGAGAGGGCAGATAAATTAGCAAAAGGGGCAATTCAAAATCCAATTAGCATTAAAGTTAAAACAAGTAAAGCTGAAGGAAAGAGTATAGTTAAGGAAAAACTGACAGAAAAGTGGCAGGAAAGGTGGGATGAAGAAATAACAGGAAGATGGTATTATAAGATTCAGAAGATGGTAGGAGAAAGAAGAAAGGGAGGAAGAAATAGAAAAGAGGAAAGAGTGATAACAAGGATAAGATTTGGGCATACAGGGCTTAACTACTCACTTTTTAGAATTCAAAAGCATGCAACTGGTAAATGTGAGTATTGTGGAGAATGGGAAACAGTAGAACATGTTATTCTAGAATGTGATAAATATGAAAGAGAGAGGAGATATATGAAAAAAGAGTTTGAAAGTATTAAGGAAAAATTTAATTTAATAGATATTTTGAGGAAGAGTTTTGAGAGCAAACATATACAAATAGTTATTCGATTTTTAAAGAAAACTAAGATATTCAGTAGAATTTGATAGAGTAGACATAAGAGTTAATGTATGGATGATAGTGATGAGTAGAATATAAATATGGATGTAAGTATGTATAGGTATAAATATAAATATGTTTTTTCTTTTTTTTTTTTTTTTTGTGTAGGTGTATGTATGAATATATATAGGTATATATATACAGAGAGAGCTTTAGACCAACACGAGCCACACTCCATACCAGTAAGTGGCGGTAATGCTACTCTAAGTTTGTTGCCAACCGCCAATAAACACAAGAAGAAGAAGAGGACGTGAACGCAGCACAGCACTTCACAGTTAGTTTAGCATATGGCTAATCTCTGCGATGAGACGACACCTTGATCACATCTAAATCGTTAATTTCAAGTTTTATTTGTTATTCTTTGCAGATCTGCATTTCATTTCAACCGCAGGCCTCGTACATCACAAAGCTGGAAATGACGTCTAAAATTAAAGGTAAGCGACATCATAATGTTAGCCTTCTTTGCTAACATTAGCATTAGCGTACCTTGGTTTTTTATTATTTATGTTGCATTAACTACATCTGCATTGGAGGAATGAAGGCAAACAAATGTAACACAATGTAATAAGTTAAATTTACTGTATTATACCAATTATAACAATAGCAATGTAAACGTTACAGTCTGCGGTAAACGTCTTCAGTTACTGCTCTGTTTTGCACTAAATAAAGCGAAACAGCTGCAATAAGCTTCGGGTAAATAAGCTCATTTTGCTTAACTTGATTGTTTTCCTATCCATCTCCGTGTTTTACTGGAAGATTTATTTTTAAAAAACATCATATTCATGATCAAATGTTTTTGTTTTGATTCTAGTGGGAAAGGTGGGCTCCAAGAACAAAGAAGATGCCCCTTATGAGCTGGAGAGCCAGTATATCTTGAGGCTTCCTTCGGTGAGGAAGTTTACTCCTTTATAAAAGTCAGCATGATACACTGTGAGTTTAAAGTGACGTGAATTCATTTTCTATCTTTTTTCAGGAGTATGCCTCAACAGTCAGAAGGATAGCACAGTCCAGCAGTATGAACATGAAAGACAGACTTACAATCGAGCTGCACCGTAAGTTACTTTATCAGTATTACTGCCACTGTTCTGTGCTTGACCTGTTTGTTAAACTACTAATTTCACTTCATTTGATCATGAAATGAATCTCACAAGATCTCCATTGTTGATAAGAGGTTAACATGCACTCATCATGTCAAGGAATATATTTTGATCTCAACCATTGTTTTATGTTAGTTTTTAAAACTGTTGTTATGTGCAGGAGTTTGAATGTATTGAACATTTTCTCTAATGCACACAGCGCCTATATGATGCATACAGACTCAATCCTGACTGGATGTTAACGTTAATAAAAAGTTGCTAGTTTCCTGGCTCTGGCACAGGTTTTAAGCAAAGCCTAGAAATATTTAGTTAGGTTGAAGTTGGAGTCATCAAGATTCAACAAGGTATTTCAACAGGATATCTGAACTATACTTTAACACTAAGTTGATGGCAGGAAACCAACCAGTTTAAGTTAACTCTATCAATGCTGATGAGAAGAATGATTAAAAGTCTGTTCAGAATTATGCCTAAACCTCACTCATAACTTTGAAAACAGAAGAATATTTTGCTAAATATTAGCAGGGTTGCATTTGTAACCCTTCTTTGTTCATCTTAAGTCTAATAGGTTGACGTTACAACAGACACAATCAGGCTTATTGAGTGAAATGCACAACATTAATTATGATAACAGTCAAAAACATTCACAAAACCTGGAAAAATTACTCATGAAACCTTGTATATAACTAGATTGGTCAAAAATATATGTTAAAATATGATACTGATAAAGAAAAACTGAGCTGATGGTAATACATACCACAGTTACAGACGGCAGCAGAAATAGGAGATGAGCTGTCGCTATGGTAACCATCAACTGTCATAACTCAAATATAACTTTTTAACTAAAAAACAAAAGTCTAAATAAACCTAGTTTAGCAATCTACAATTATGCTGAAAATAAAATTCTGTCACATATTTAAGTTTATATGAATGTTTTTGGCTTTGTGAAAAATATTCTGATTATATTTATTGTGTGTTTAATATTAATCTAATATTAATATTAATCTAAGTTGATTCATGTTTTCACCAAGAAAAAAGCAGCACAAACACGTCTTTCAGAAGCATAAAATTACTTCATCTGAACTTCTGTCTTGAATGTTTTTTATTTTTACGTTCTGGTTTCATATTTATTGGTTGATTTTTTTATTATTATTTTGAATACTGCAAGATTTGTTTTCAGTGAAAGCTCTGCTGATTAACAAATCAATTATACATACTTGCTTGTGGTTAAATTTGGTTGATTCAACAATTGTGCTTCTTCTGATTTTTTTTTTTTTTTTTTTTTTTTTTTTGCGATTGATAAAAATTTAGTTAGAAATAACAAATATATTTTAACCTTCCTGAATTGTGTGAATACAGATTTTGGATATTAATCCATAAAAGCCCTTAAGAATGTTGGGATACATCTGGAAGTCTTATGCATTTAGTTTTTTAGTTAAGAATGTTAAAAGGTAGCTTTTTCTTTTTTCATCTGACCAGAACGCAGTCAGATTTATTTCTCATTTTCCTCCGGTTCTCAGCGGACGGTCGTCATGGGATAGTGAGAGTCGATCGTGTTCCTCTGGCCTGCAAACTGGTGGAGCTGCCATGCATGATCGAGTCCCTGAAAACAGTAGACAAGAAAACATTTTACAAGACAGCTGATGTCTGTCAGGTAAGCCTTAATCTCAACTAGACCTTTTCTTCTGTCTTTTTAGAACTTTGCCACCTTAAATTTGATTAAATTTCTTATTTTTTATGATTATTGTGAAGGGGAAGTTAAACAATAAACGTTTTCCAATTTATTTTTACTAATCACCCATCATTTTCCTTCCATTTCACAATTATGGACTACTTCACCCCTAAAGAAATTATTACAAGTTTGCAATTTTTGTCCAAGTATTAGAAATTGTTTAATAATTCAAGGTTTTCTCTATCTGGTTAGATGCTGGTGTGTACACTAGATGGAGACCTCTACCCTCCTTTGGAGGAGCCAACCGGCACTGACCCAAAGACTAAAAAGAAAGACAAAGACAAGGACAAGAAATTCATCTGGAATCATGGCAGTAAGTTGATAAATATCCTCACAGGTCTTGATTTTGTAAAGATTTTAGCTAAAAATGTCTTATATGAGCAGGCTATCTTTTTGCTAACTGTCGTTTCACGTCCACAGTCACCTGCCCTCTGAAAAACACACGCAAGCGAAGATTTCGGAAGACAGCGAAAAAAAAGGTTTCAACTTATTTTTTTTATTTTTTTTCAGTTCCCCTCCAGGGTTCCTCACCCGTCTGTTTAACATACTGTTTGATGACCTGTCTCTTTTCTGAGCTCTCCTCCAACAAGACATTTACATTTTATGAAACAGTGGTGAAAGTGAAAACCAAGATTTACATATAAATAAAGCATTTTGTCTTAGATTTCCCTAAAGGTGTAAAAAAAAAAAAGCCATTTCACAATAGCATTGAGCAAGCCGAAGCTCTACGCTTCTACTTTGTCTTGTGAATGGATATTCCTGAAAGTGTGGAGCACAGCCATATTGATTAGGCCTCCTCTGTTTCAGTCGCTAATGCCCTTCCTGGCCAGCAGCCAGCTGCTACCTTCACGTGTTTGTGCTTGTGTGTATGTGCATGTTGGTTTACAAGTGTCCTGATCTTTCTCTGCTTTTTCCCCGCTGCAGTACATTGAATCTCCTGATGTGGAAAAGGAAGTGAAGAGGCTGCTGAGCACAGACGCAGAGGCTGTCAGTGTTCGTATCCTTTCAGACACCTGCGGTAAAAATATTCGGTGCATCCACTGGAAAACTGTAATCCAACGAGAGATTTTTCTCATGTTATAACTGAAGTGTTAGTTTTATCTTATTTCCAGGCGACAAAGATATTTGAAACGTGTTGAAATTTGGTCTATTTGCAGTGCATTATACATTGATATATCTAAGCCGAGTTACTAATATAGATTGAATCAGGCTTCGATAATAATCTATTTTATTGTGTCTATTTCATTCAACCTCCACACATTGTCTTATGATTTTATTATAGTGAATTGTTGCTGGGCTGTGATTGGTCAGTCAGTGGAAATGCGATTAGATTTTTAGATGGAGCGTCTTTCCAAATATGGAAGCCATATTTGCTCCCCTGACTTTAATTTTCCCAGCTGGATTTATCCGACACTCAGCCTCCTGCCCAGCTCACCTTACTTGCCTCTGTGTAAAACGTTTGTGGGTAAAGATGCGGTGTGAAAAGAAGCTTTTAAGGTCTCTGATGAAGCTCTGAGCCTGCCTGACAGAATAAGAGCACAGGGAGGCTGCTTTGTGTGGCTACTGGCTTTGAGTTAATTGAGACGGACTGTTCATTATCACTGCTTAGTTGAGCACTGTAAAACTAGACTATTTATAGTTCCATTGTTTGCATACAGCTTTAGACATACACACAACATAAGCATGTAGAGGACAAAGATGGAAAATGATCTGTTTCTGCAGTGGGGAAAAATCTAAATTGTTTTTAATACAACCAACAGTAGGAACATTATTAAAGCTCCTCCTCTGTGTACTCTGCATAACCTTTTTTGACTATAGAGCAAGACTTGTCTTATAGCATTTCTCAAGTTTGGTGTTTACAGAGAGGAGAATCCTTCATCATTCCTCCTTTCTTTTGTCTCTGATTTTGGAGCATTTCTGAGTTGATTTGGCCAAAAATGAGTTTGTTTTAGATCAAACTCATTTTTATTTTGGGCCACTTTAAGATCTTAAACATCCTCAAAGGGTGAAATGTATTGATAAAACTACCAATTAACAAATTGTTAGTGTTACCGTTCTCAATATATGATGAGTATGTCATAAAATTAACCTATTTTCACATTGTAATTTGACACTATGAAAGAAACTGATTTGATTTTTATGGCCCCCTAAAGCAGGGGTGTCCAAAGTGTGGCCTGGGGACCATTTGTGGCCCTTGGACTGAATGTCTGTGGCCCTCAAAAAACTGTTGAGAATGACAGAAATTTGGACTTTTTATTTTTAAGTCAAGATGACGTTATTACCAACATTATTTTCTCATAATGGAAAAAGTTAGGTACAACAAAAAGACTTTTTATAGCCAAGCTTTAATTACAAGTAGAAAAATGTTGATTCAGAGATTTTTACTGACTTTGCTGAACCAAAATCAACTTTTATTTAATCTACTGCACTTGGCTAATTATAGCAAGCATTTTAACAGAAGGTGACCTAAATTATGTTCTTGTAGATAAGGATAAATTTGTTATATTGAGCCCAAAATAATTTGAAAACAAGATCCCTTTCTCTAAATAACCTTATTCTCGTAAAATTTTGATTTTATTTACTTTTTCTTTCAGAAAATTATTTTAAAACTCCACATATTTGCTTTTTTTTTTTAATTTACGACAGAAAAGGTTCTTTACTGGCAAACCCTGCAAGTAACTGGTTGACCCTAAGAAGCCACTCCTTAGAGTTTTTCCCTTGTTTTTCCCTGTACATGTAGGATAAATTAAATACTACAAGTTATCATCATAACATGGATGTTTTTCCTAGTAAATAAACGTCCTGTTACAATAGAATGTTAATTTATCTTCTAGGTTTTTAACCAGACGTGCTGCGCATTTGGTGGTGTTTTGTGTGTCTTTGTGGATAAGTGAAGTTTCTGGAAGTTGTTTGACCCTAACTGCAGCTGTCCAGGGTGGGAGGTCATAGCAGAGGATGAGTCCAAAGAAGCCGACCAGCACGGCTCTCTGGCCAATCTGGACTCCTCTCCCGGCACCTCGGGGCACAAGATGGGTCATGGAGCCTCAGGTAAAAACAACGCAACTTGTTCATTGTATGAAGTGTGGAGAAAAAAAATGATTTGCTGCTTAATAACGAAGAGTTTCAGGTGAAAAGTAATTCCCATCCTTTGGATACATTGTGAAAGATTTAGTTTGCGTCGAGTTTCTCACTTTAATTTGTTAAAAATAAAAATAAACCAGTGTTTCTGTTTGCTGTGTGTTTGTTACACAATGAAAGGAGCAGGAATCAGTTTGATTTTACCAACACACTGTAACAAAAAAGTTATTGATGTTCAGCTGTTGATCAAATAATTGATAAATTACTTGCATGACCATTATATTTTAATTTTCTCATCATAAATGTCAAAATATTTTCATGGATTCATATTAAAAGCAAGATGGCTTCCAGCCATATTCCTATGTTGCCTTCTTATGATTTAGCAGTTTTGCTTGTTTGGTGGCATTTTTTGTTTGTTTTGTTTTTCTTATATTGTATTTCTGTAATTTTGAAAATGTTGTGCTCTGATGTTTTTACTACAAAATGTGGTTTTGTGACTCCAGTGAATAAGATCTTCTTGTCATTATTTGGATTGTAGTTTTGAAGAAGTCAAACTAGTTTTAAACGAGATATGTTATATTTGTAATTAATTATTACAAAGAGAAATAAATTGAAAGTAAATTGAAAAAGGTCCATTGAAATTACCTAGTCTTACCAAGAAAACAAAATGTAAGTAGGGATAAAATATATCTATGCTTGGTGAAAAGGTGAAATCTTAAATTTCCTGCCAAACGTTGCAGCGGTGCTTGTGATCATCATTCATTCTTATTTTCATTTTAGCTTAATATGTATGCAATGTGAACCATTTTGCCTTTAGGTTTCAGCATTTTTCCCATTTGTCTCATTCTCTAAAGTCCCACGCGACGAACTGAGAGAGATCTTCAACGACATCAGCAGCTCTAGTGAGGAAGAGGAGGATGAAGGGGACCGGCACGACGACGAAGACCTGAACATCATGGACACTGAGGACGATCTGGTGCGGCAGCTTCAAGACAAGCTGAACGAGGCGGACTCGGCTCAGAATGA